ATTTGTTTTAAATTGAACAGATTCTCACATAATTTCTCAACTCCACAAACTGTGATTTTTGAGAACATCTTCAATTTTTGTAGAAAGGTCAGTCAAGTTATGAGAACTGATGATATTGTAGAAGTCAGTGACTCACCACCTTCTGCTCTGTCTCTAAACTACAATTTAAATAAAATGTTTCTAGAAGTGATAGGGCTACTAAAGTCAAATAGTTGCAATGTTATCTCCTCCTGAGTTTTTACAGTAAGGAAGCAAAAGTAATCAGAAACATTAAAATACAACAAATAGCACAGCTCTTCACTATCTACCAGCTTCTAGCCCAGCGACTGTTATTACCAATCTCACAGCCAAAATTCTGCTGCTGCTATCAGCAAATTATAATTTCATGTTTTGAGCTTCACAGTTCTTCAGTTTGCTGGATTCTGCATTGCACCTACTACAGTCAAAGTGTACTCTCCTCTGTTTAATCTGTTACAACATCAATGATATTTTTACAACATTTTTTGCAAGGCCACCAGTTTTGATCCCAAGCCTCTGTTTCTTCCAGATTCGGTGCTGCTTGAGAGATAGGACATACTGTACTCTGTTCTTTGCTAAGTAATTTATCCTTCTATGGCACACAACTTCTGGAAAGTATCTTTTTCTTAAGGTAAATGGAACATTATGATCCCTTTTCCCCTTCTCCAACTGTGAAAATAACTTTTAGTTAGAATGTAACTTAAAAAGCAAAACTATGAACAAAGCTATCGGTGAATAAACAGCCTAAAAGGAACAAGGGGAAGAAGATATTAAAACAGCACAACTGCAACACTCCAGAAAACTAGTGCCTTTATCTTTCCATGTGCCTGCTCTCTGGTAGTCTGAAGTAGGAAACTTCAGCTTGCTACAAGTACTAAAACTCCAGCAGAGGAGCACAGGCTAACTCTTACTAATTAATTTAGCTTTAAGGTCACCCCATAAGTTAATCATGTGAAGATCATTAAGAGTAACAATAGAAATGCACATTCATTCTCCTGCCCTCAGCAATTCAATTTACATGCACATATTCTTCATATTCTATCTGCTATTACTAAGTAGTATCAAATAGATGTGTGTTGCCAGAGTATTTTTCACTTTTCATTAATTATGAAATGGCAATATGGCCATCTGTCACCTGTTAATTCCTTGTTCAACTCTACATGGTTCAAAAGATTATTAGAAGATTAGACTGATCAGCTACTATACTGCAAGCAAGCCAGGATTTTCTGTCATGGAAAATTCATAGGTTATTTTTGCTTTTCTTTTTTCATTGGTCAAGCTAGATGAAAGAGGAGGGTCTTCTACAACACTCAGCAAAAGCAACTGGCAGCATTTCAAAACCATCAAGTCTCTGCCGAGTCCACAGATGGTGCTACCCATTTGCCAGCTTGTAGCCTTAAAGAGCTATGTTTGCTAAAGTGTTGAAAATAAAAGGAGCACATTAGTAAATCTGAGTAACTAAATAAAGTATTGTTTGTAGCTTCTAAACTAGAAGACTATCTGGGGCGCACATGTGAAATTCACTTGCTGGCACTGTCGCCCTTGGTAAATAGGCCAGAAGAAAACATCTACAGTTGTTACCAACCATCATTTTTAATCATATTTTAGAGGAAAAATAAAGCAATTCCTGAGCAAATGTTTTGTAAATAAATTATTCAAAACCTCATCCTTAGGATTCATATGATTAGGAGACAGCTTTCATTTAAGAATATAAAGCTGCTTCTGATGCTTAGGTGAAAACTTTTACATCTTTCTTACAAATACCAGAAATCAAAATTAAAAAAAAAAACTTTCTTAAAGTCTTTGATCTGGACAAATGCTTTGTTTTTTTTTTTTTTTAACATAGTTTGAGCTGGCAACATAAACAGACATCCTTAACCCTTTAAATCATATATTGCAACTATGAGAAAAAATACAGAGTTTTAAAAAATATGAGTACAAATCTAAAATATAGCCAGGCACTTCTAAAACAATAAATATCTAACCTTTTATTCATCTGCTGCAAAACAATCCATAGAAATGTGCATGATTTTATTAACTGGAAATTTTGTTTCCTTTTTTCAAGTATCATAAAAACAGTCATCTGACAAAATAGTGCTAGGCTAGTAACAACCCTTACAAACCTAAAAATTAGAGTTAAAAAAAGTATTTGTTGCTTTAAAATTAATGAAGTCCCATAAAGTGAGAAAGATATGCTTATACAGTTATCTACAGTCCAGTAACTATAAGACACAACACTTACTACACAGAAAATCCTGTAAGCTGGTCACGCAGACTACCTTTGTAAGGAGTCTTTCTGCTTAGTTATACATGAATTCTGAGCATTCTTAAATTTAATATGTATTTACATTTGCTTAGTGTTAGCCATTTTAGAATACCCCACAGTAATGTGACAATTATTAGCTCTCTCATAGCCTGCAGTAAATGCTACAGTCTTCCAGAACTGCCAAATAACAGTCCAAAGTCTTTCCAAATCATGATACTTCCAAAGTAAAATATTTCTTACACCATTGGTATTCTTTACACCATATGTACACCATCATAACCCTTGTTAGGAATTTGAAAGCAGACTTCTACATATTCAGCAAACGAATTATGTAGCTAAAAACTGCCTCTTATTATAAAATGATCAACTATCAGATAAATCAGATTGTTAGTAAGTCATCTCTTTTACATGGGCAAAATATGTCTCTGGGGAGATCTTACAAGATACATGTTTTACTTCACATAATATTTTAACTAACTAAGCAAACATTTTGAATTTTAAGTTAGCTACAAGTCTGCACCAAGGGGATCATCCTCCTTCCACTGATCTTCACAAAAACTGAATAACCCTGTCATATTGTTTACTGTCACTTTACACAGTAACAATTAATACTGGAGAGTTTATTCACTAATGCTCTTGGGCATTAAACAGTAACCTATATTTAAATCCCTGTTTTTACATTTCTAAACACAGCACAAATATTTATTGTTCTATTACTAACAATTACCAAGCCAACACTATGCTTATCTTTTGTCTTTTCAATCAAATAGGAGGGACAAGCTTTCCTATTATTACTGGTCTATCTCCCTCCGGTTGAAGAGTCCAGCTGAAAGCAATACCACTGCAGTGACATCTTAATAAAGCACTTAGGTAGCACAGAGAGTATAGTAGCACCCAATTACTTATCCATCATATGCTTATTTGGTTGAGGAAGACTGATATGGATTAATCCTATTGAGTTTACATGCCTTGATCTTAATTTACTTAGTAAAAAGCAGAACTGTAGCTTAAACGACATGGCAGAAGAGTTTGTTCTATAGATTAACCATCACAAAAAATAATTCAGGAGGAAAAGCATGCAGAAATTTTAGAATGCAACAGAAGTATGTGCTTCTATTACTATAGATCATTTCATAATTTTTACTCTCCCCAAGGCAGTCAGTCAGACAGAACTTTAATAAAAAGCCCAACATGGCTGCCCCAGTAGCTGTTTCAATCACCCTCACAAATACAGCACTTCCAAACTGCAAGAGGCAACTGAAATTTTGCCAGGCTTAATTTTATTAGAATGACTAAAGTAAAAAAGAAGTTGGAGTAATTATCATATACACAATATAAACTTCCACTTTGCAATGGCATACCCACATGTGCATTTTCCTTAATGCTGATAAAATTGTATTTTACTTTATTCAAAACATTACAGAGTTCTCCAACACTGTAGCTTACAGAGGATACGTATTTTCCATGTATGTTTAGCAACACCTATCTGGATACACACAGTAATAGCAGAATAATGAAATCCTTTTGGAGAGATAGAAGATACATAAATATCAGTGATTTAGACAAACAAGCTTCCAGCTTTTAGAAGAATTTGTCCAGTAGGCCTTTAACTAGTGAAGTATTTATCTGTGGATGCAACTCTAAGCACATGGTAACTCTCTTTCAAATTGACAGAATTATTGATAAGATTTAATTTTATTAATGTACTATAACATTTTGCTAATTTAGGATGTGAAAAATATTCCATCCCAAACAATTAAGTGGCTAGTATAGGTGATGACGAGTAAAGCAAAACACATCTTTATATTCAGTTACGAATTTGTTTTCTCACTGAACTTATGTTACCTGAAGGGGTAAAAAACAAAGATTTAGAATCAGTCAAGTCCTGATGCCAGACTTATCACTGGTGAAATCCACAATGGTTTCAATTAAATATATCTTGATTTTATAGATCAAGCTTGGAAGAACTAGAAATGTCACAGAAGTAAAATGCTCAGCTCAACAGAAAACAAGAATTCCATACCACTTTATACTGACTTACTTTTAGGATAAGAAAGAACTGAAACTAGTTTTCCTTTATCATAACGGGATAAACCAGTGCAAATTGAAATGGTAGGGCATGTGGCAACAAAATGGGAAAAAAGGAGAGGTAGAGCTAGAAGAAGAGCTTGA